TCCCAGCATTTTTGCCATGAGCGGGGGTGGTTGAAAATATATTTCGTGACCCGGTGGTAAGGTGCCTTTCAGGAATGCTACTGGTATATCGATCGTCTTAGGATGCCATTGGCGTTGACGAGCATAAGCCAACAACATTCGGAGATTCGCCGTTTGGACGGTGGGAGCGTCCACCTGTAAGCCATTGAGTAGGCGCATATCTCCACAGCCAACCAAGACAGCCCGCGATTTGTTTCGAGTTATCTTTTTAGGATCCAATGGATCTTCATGTTTGAATGTTCGCACCATGCGAAGCTTCATAAGATTGAACTTGTGACGTGGGCGGTCGCACGGTTCGCAGACTTGTTCATCAATGAACGATTGGAATTCCCGGGCATCGCTTTTAAGGAAACCAGGGTCATCGACATAGGACATGATTTCTTCTTTAGTCAATTCTTTTTGAACAAGAAAGAAGTTGTGTTCTCCTGTGTCACTCATCTCTACTCGGTGAATATCTGAGGCTTCTCTGATGTCTTGCAACGCTTCAGCTCTCAGTAAGGTTTGCGTATATAAGGTATCTAGGTTGTCTGGCTTGGTTTTTCTGAAGGTAACCGAGCCAGTATATGCCATTGGCAATCTCAGTTCTCTGGCATGCGACCAATTGTACGATTTATATCGTTTGTTGTCTATGCGTAGAACACATTGTTGTGTAATTTCCCCTTTTGATGGGGCATTCGGAAGGCCTGTTGTGAAAGGATGCACCTTGTCATCACGGGGCTTAACAATTTCGTAGACAAAAGAATATGGTGTTTCGGACCAAAAATCTTGCAGTGCCACGTTGTTGATATTATGTGGCGTTGTCCAGGCTTTGTCATACGTAGAGCTGGTGTTTACAGATGAGGCCGGGCTCGAATCTGTCTTGTCTAGGCGAAATTGTGTTGGAGCATCGCTCTTTTCATATACTGGAAAGTCGTCCTCATGTAGTGTGGTAGTATACTTTTCCTTACGACGTTTTCGTTTGACTACGTGTCTGATTTCGATAAATTTTGATATACGGATAGGGTGTGGCGAGTTTGGTGACCCACACTGAAGACCAGCCATATGGGAGCATTGGAAGTGGTAAGTGGTCTTATACACTTCCGGGTTAGTAGCATCTAATGGATGTAAAGGGCGAGACTTTTCGCATTGTTCGCATATGACTTCTACGAAGGGAGACACTATAGGAGCCCCATCACAAACAGTCGTCGAACCTACTATGATGTATTCTACATGGGCCGGCTGCAAGTCGTTCACGCAGTCTAGTTTTGACCTTTTATTGAGGTCTAAGCCATGAGTAAAGCACTCTTGTCCTTTAATTGCAATTACATACTGCCAGTCAGTGACGTGATTTATGTCTAGCCTTTTAATGTTGGCCCCAGTAACCGCCTGATATGTGTTAAATTGAAGGTGAGGAAAGACCTCTGCGAATAGTTCCGTGAATAGTTCATAATTCTTTTGTGTTCGCGGTTCTATGTGTTTTTGCCTGTTAAGTTTCATCCATCTGAACCCTTTTCCCATTGGGATTGCTCCAGTATTTATTTTGTCTACCTTGTCGTTTAAGCATTGCTTCAGTTGTGTCACCACTGGCATCAACGCTGCTGGACGTATCCATGGTGTCGGTCGCTGGGGTATTACTTGTTGCTTTCGGCCAGGGGGTAACGAGCCGTTCTGGGCATTTGGGATCATACATCGTGGCGCTACCGGCAAATCTGCTTCGGAAAAGTCAAATGAATCACGTCGTAATTCTTGAGGTGGCAACACCCCCTCCTGAGATAACTCAGGCACATTCACCCCCTCCAGGGGTGAGGCGGAGTCAAGTAGTTGTCGACCTGTAGTGGGAATGTGTTTGAGTCGTGTTCGATAAAAAGGTCGTGGTGTGATTTCTGAATCGATATGAACTTGGACATATTTGTCACCTTCTGTGGATACTACTACCCCAGTAAGATCCCATAACCCTGTTTCTCCGTTGTATGCACGGACGCTCTCTTGTGGCTTGAAGAC